TAACGCCGTTAATAACTGACAGCCCTATTTCTAATTGGGAAAGCAACATGATTGCATGTGTGATACTTTCTTTATACAGCAGTTCAATAAATAAGAATTTACATTTTGAGTAACTTATATTTTAGATACAATATTGCTACTTTGTCTGCATTTTCTCTGCATTTTTCTTTCTACTTATCAGGTGTTGCCCTGTCTAATGAATGCCAATATTACGGTAGATGTGGCTTTAACATTTGACGGCAGATCTGTCAACCATTGTGGTCAGTACAGTTTTGAAATGCATGAAGGAAACTTTTTTGTGGGCTGTTAATTTTTAAACCGTCTTGAATGACAGCCAAGAGCTGGCCTGAGTGAACTCAGCTGGTCATCCGTCATTGTTAAAAACTTAAATCCCTGATTGGGGTCTGGTCTGAGGCCAGCTCAACACAGGTGCTTGGCACAGCATTGACATTAAAGCACTCCACGTTAAAGATCGAGCAAAAGAGAAGCCAGGAAATTTCAGTTGCTGTTGTACTGATTACTAAAAACACTGGCTCAAAAAAAGCCTGTGTTTGAGACACTCTTGGTTCATTCAGATTACATGGTTGCAGACATTTATATGTCACAGACAGTGGCTCTTGTTTTTCATTGTCTATTGTGTAAAGCTGTCAGGCCTTATACAGGAAGAGACAATGCCATAGATTTGCTGTGATGGATGACTAAAGCTTGCTAGATATTACAAACTGGAATAGTTTAGAATTTCTCAGCACATGGTTATTTTTATATTATAGGCTAATATTCATGCATTTATTTTTTATATATATTTTATATAGACGGGGTTATAAATTTAACCAATAGAAAAACATTTAAAACATATAAATATAAAACAAATATAACTAAGCCTTATATATATATGAAGACTTCAGATGCAAAAGCCTCTAAGTGCCACCTGAAATTTTCTTCTAAAAATGAGCATTTTTATCAGGCTCGTATATTTAAGTTCAGTAATTTCACTTTAATGACAATTAATAGGAAATTTTCATTCCCATTAAAGTGAAATAACTGAACATAAACATACAAGCTTGATAAAAATGATCAAGAAGAAAATTTCAGATGGCACTCACTTAGTGTTACATGTGTGTCCTGTGTTTCCCCCTGCATTGTGTTTTGGTTCAGTCCTGTATCTCAGTTTTCCCGCTCCTCGTTTGTGTTCAGTTCCTTCACCTGTTTCTAGTTAATTTGCCCCAGCTGTGTCTTGTTCCCATGATCCGTTCTCTGTGTATGTAAACCCTGTGTTCTCCCTCACTCCTTGTCGGTTCTCGTTTGTGAAAGGTGTGTGTATGTTTCCTGTATATCCTTTGCCTGCCTGTATCAGTTTGAGTTTGGATTCATTAAGTAAAGTATATTGTTTTTGGAAATCCTGATCTCCTCGTGCTTCCTGCCTACACCCGACCGTAACAGAAGAACCGACCAAAAGACAAGCATGATGGCTGAAGACAGACTCTTCAACTTGCAGCAGAATGGCCGTTCGTTGGAGAGGTATGTAGAGGAGTTCCTGGAGGTTTCCCATCTAGTGAACTGGGGTGATTCCACTATTAACGGCTGCTTCCGGTTGGGACTGGACGATGATAATTTATTCCATTTCATCTCCGTGGAGAATTGTTATAAATCCGTCCCGGACTTTTATTAATTATGTCCTAGAATTTCATGGTTCTGATTTCCTCGTTGACTATGCAGAGGATAGTCAAAATCATCGTCCAGTCCCCATCCGGAAGTATGTAGACGCCCCAGTTCACCTCGATCCGGAACCCGCTGCATACCTCTCCAAGTACTCCGTGTCCCTTGCTGCACCCGAGATGCCCGAGCCAGAGCTTCCGCCGCTGGTCCCGTCCAGCACCGATCCCGTGCCTTCATTGCTGGTCCAGCCTGAGTCTCGTCCCGCCGAGACCGTTCAGCCTGAGTCTCGTCCCGCCGAGACCGTCCGGCCTGAGTCTCGTCCCGCCGAGACCGTCCAGCCTGAGTCTCGTCCCGCCGAGACCGTCCAGCCTGAGTCTCGTCTCGCCGAGACCATCCAGCCTGAGACCGTCCAATCTGAGTCTCATCCTCCCGAGCCCTTTTCGTCGCTGGTTCCGACCAGCTCAAAGTCCTCTTCGCTGCTGGTCCTGTCCAGCTCAGAGCCGTCTTCGCCGCTGGTTCCGTCCAGCCCAGCCGAGCCCTCACCGCTGGTTCCATCCAGCCCAGCCGAGCCCTCACCGCTGGTTCCGTCCAGCCCAGCCGAGCCCTCACCGCTGGTTCCGTCCAGCCCAGCCGAGCCCTCACCGCTGGTTCCGTCCAGCCCAGCCGAGCCCTCACCGCTGGTTCCGTCCAGCCCAGCCGAGCCCTCACCGCTGGTTCCGTCCAGCCCAGCCGAGCCCTCACCGCTGGTTCCGTCCAGCCCAGCCGAGCCCTCACCGCTGGTTCCGTCCAGCCCAGCCGAGCCCTCACCGCTGGTTCCGTCCAGCCCAGCCGAGCCCTCACCGCTGGTTCCGTCCAGCCCAGCCGAGCCCTCACCGCTGGTTCCGTCCAGCCCAGCCGAGCCCTCACCGCTGGTTCCGTCCAGCCCAGCCGAGCCCTCACTGCTGGTTCAGTCCAGCCCAGCCGAACCTTCTCCGCTGGTCCCGTCCAGCACTGCCGATCCTGAGCTTCCCTGCAGCCCTGCCGAGCCTGAGCTTCCCTGCAGCCCTGCCGAGCCTGAGCTTCCCTGCACGCCTGCCGAGCCTGAGATTCCCTGCACGCCTGCCGAGCCTGAGATTCCCTGCACGCCTGCCGAGCCTGAGCTTCCCTGCACGCCTGCCGAGCCTGAGCTTCCCTGCACGCCTGCCGAGCCTGAGCTTCCCTGCACGCCTGCCGAGCCTGAGCTTCCCTGCACGCCTGCCGAGCCTGAGCTTCCCTGCACGCCTGCCGAGCCTGAGCTTCCCTGCACGCCTGCCGAGCCTGAGCTTCCCTGCACGCCTGCCGAGCCTGAGCTTCCCTGCACGCCTGCCGAGCCAGAGTTTCGCGTCACGCCTGCCGGGCCGGAGCTTCGCGTCACGCCGGCCGAGCCAGAGCCTTCTCCGCTGGTCCCGTCCAGCCCTTCAGAGCCTTCTCCGCTGGTTCCATCCAGCATAGCCGGGCCTTCACCGCTAGCCCAGCCAGAGACTTTCCACGTCCCTTCTGCCCACCCAGAGACTGTCCACGTCCCAGAGCCTGTCCCAGAGCCTGTGATTCCCCCCAAGAAAGTTTTGGGGGGGGGATATAGGCCGCCCGAAGGTGCGTCTCCGCCATGGCCGCCCGAAGGTGCGTCTCCGCCATGGCCGCCCGAAGGCGCGTCTCCGCCATGGCCGCCCGAAGGCGCGTCTCCGCCATGGCCGCCCGAAGGCGCGTCTCCGCCATGGCCGCCCGAAGGCGCGTCTCCGCCATGGCCGCCCGAAGGGGATTCTCCGCCATGGCCGCCCGAAGGGGATTCTCCGCCATGGCCGCCCGAAGGGGATTCTCCGCCATGGCCGCCCGAAGGGGATTCTCCGCCATGGCCGCCCGAAGGGGATTCTCCGCCATGGCCGCCCGAAGGGGATTCTCCGCCATGGCCGCCCGAAGGGGATTCTCCGCCAGGACCGCCCGAGAGGTGGTCTCCTACTCCGCCATGGCCCCCTGACCAGCCTGCTCCGCCCTGGAGGCTTCCTGCTCAGGGTAGGCCACGCCCTCATCAGCCTCCAGGGCGCCCGCCCCCCCACCCCTATTGAAGTTATACGGTGCGAGGACGTGCCTTTTTGGAGGGGGCGTTATGTTACATGTGTGTCCTGTGTTTCCCCCTGCATTGTGTTTTGGTTCAGTCCTGTATCTCAGTTTTCCCGCTCCTCGTTTGTGTTCAGTTCCTTCACCTGTTTCTAGTTAATTTGCCCCAGCTGTGTCTTGTTCCCATGATCCGTTCTCTGTGTATGTAAACCCTGTGTTCTCCCTCACTCCTTGTCGGTTCTCGTTTGTGAAAGGTGTGTGTATGTTTCCTGTATATCCTTTGCCTGCCTGTATCAGTTTGAGTTTGGATTCATTAAGTAAAGTATATTGTTTTTGGAAATCCTGATCTCCTCGTGCTTCCTGCCTACACCCGACCGTAACACTTAGAGGCTTTTCCATCTGAAGTCTTCATATATACATACATATATATATATATATATATATATATATATTTATATATTACTAGTGCTGTCAAATCGATTAATCACATCTAACATAAAAGTTTTTGTTTATATAATATGTGTGTATATATATTATATGTGTATATTATATACCGTAAATATGTGTGTGTGCGTGTCTGTCTGTGTATATATATATATATATATATATACATAAATGCATACATATATGGGTGTTGATACGCACACACGCACACACACACACACACACAGGTGTTTTTTAGGCCCAGATGATTGACTTTTTGGAGCCCTCCCAGAGGACATACAGTATATGCCTTCTTTGGCGTTGAAATGGCACCAAGAACAAGACATGTCATTGAATTATTAACCAATAACAAAGGCTGTCCGACTGATTTCTATCGTAAAATGTAATGAACAACTCCGATTAGTCAGAGAACATGATACTTTGCTTCAAAGTGTTATGTTTCCTCTCTCTCCTCCAAAGTTTGTGTATGTAAGAGCGATCACTAATTTGCCTCATGTCCTGGATTCGCTTATTCATCAAGCCATTCATCATATATTATTTATGAACAGGGTGAAAGCCAAGGGCGAACGTCTTTATTTTCAGACGTCTGTGGATAGGAGGCTCGCGGTGGGAGATGATTGGCCTTTCGTTTGGCTACAAAGAACCTTTTTCCCTTTGATATTCCTATGAAATTATCACATCTCGAACGATTAAATCAGCCTTCTCCTTTTCCCGCCAAACCCTCTTTTGACCTGCTTTGTGTCACCGGCTTGTTAATTAACTATGATGTTCACTTATCTTCAACAGGATTCAAACTGGATTACATTATCTCTTTTTTTCCCCTCCAGTCTTCAGTAAGAGGAGAAAATATTACGATCTTTGGCTGCCTGAATCATGGGATGCCGCTGTCTCTTCATGACAACACGTCAGTCTCATGTGAATCTGGTAAGACAGACAGTCTATGATTATATCTGAGACATTTTAAGCTATGTTGTAGTTATCCTCACCCTCCCATTCTGTGAAAAAGTTTGGAATATGAATAAAAAGAGTGCTAAAATATTATGGTAAAATCTTGTTAACTGTAAATTACCTTACAGTAGGCTTTACAGTGGAAAAAAAATCAATTAGTAAATTTATTGGAAAGATTTTTTGTAAAATATATATTATTATTAGTGACGTCAAATCGATGAATCACTATTAATCGATTCTAACATAAAAGTTTGTGTTTATATAATATATGTGTATATGCATGTGTGTGTGTGTGTGTGTGTGTGTGTATTGTGACGGATCGTCTGCCTCTCCCTCGTAATTAGCGCCACCCCGTCCCTTAATTTGCCGCCCTTCGCCAGGCTCCCGACTGGAGTGGGTGCGATTGGAGAGGAGGGGCGCTGATGAGGAGAATTGGCGGCATGTGATGAGGCACACCTGACGAGAATGAAGCCTCATCACTGCCGCCTGTTAAATGCTAAGCGCGCCTCTCCTCAAGAGACCGGTCTCTTCCCTGTGCATGCACACTGGTGTCTTCGTGGGTCCAGGAAGGGAGCCCGGAGGGATTCCCGCGCTGCCAGAGCTGCGAGTTGCCGGACCCGCGGTCCGAGCGGAGAAGACGCGTGACTCCGCTGATGGACCAGGATGCCGAAGCCGCCACTTCCCTCCGTTGTCGGGGCCGGGAGAGGACAGGCCGTGATGCCGAAGCCGCCGCCCCCTCGCGCCTCGACCCAAGGAGACAGGGAAGTACGAGCGACTGCTGGACACCGCCCCCTTACCTGGACCCATCCCATCTCTTCACTACCATTCCTTCACGATTCCCTGGCACAATGAAGACACAATGTGGAGAATGCGGGCATCCTGGTCCGTCAGCAGCTTCACCGCTAGGACTGCGGGTCCGGCGACTCGCAGCTCTGGCAGCGTGGGAATCCCTCCGCGCTCCCTTCCTGGACCCACGAAGACACCAGTGTGCATGCACAGGGAAGAGACCAGTCTCTTGAGGAGAGGCGCGCTTAGCATTTAACAGGCGGCGGTGATAAGGCTTCATTCTCGTCAGGTGTGCCTCATCACACGCCGCCAATTCTCCTCATCAGCGCCCCTCCTCTCCAATCGCACCGGAGGCCTGGCGAAGGGCGGAGAATTAAGGGACGGGGTGGCGCTAATTACGAGGGAGAGGCAGACGATCCGTCACAGTATATATATATATATATATATATACAGACATGCACACACACACACAAACACATATATAAATATACAGTATATACACACACATGCATTATATAAACACAATTTTTTTATTTTAGAGTGGATTTATCGCGATTAATCGTATTGACAGCACTAATTATTATTCATTATATATTGTAAATAACAATATTATGTTTACTTAGATCTATATGTATTTACAGTGAAAAACAGTAAAAGGATTGATATTATTTTATTATTAAAATATTTCTGAAATGTTTCTTTTTATATTTGTAATCAGTTATGTGCCATAGTCTGGTTTATATTTAATGTTGTTTTGTAAATATTGATGGCATTATTTTAGTGTGATATTTTGTCTTTGTGAGGATAATACTGTACAATTTTTATATATTTATTTTTGTTGTACACTAATTGATGAGGCCTTTCTTTTGTACCACATATACAGTATTATTATGGTGGTTGTCAGCATGATTTAAGGTAAAAGCAGATTTTAGTAGTTTAAAAATGTATTAGCATGTATTAATATGGATTAATATAAATCAGCAATATGCTATATGAATGAATATGAATTGAATATACATTATAGTAATGAACTGTAAAACATCTGATAATGCCTAAAAAACGGTTGCTGTATTTTTTGCTGTGAATGTTTTGGTAGCCACATGCTGCCAATTTTATGTATTTATTATTTATTTATTTATTTATGTACTTTTAACTGAATTTTGGGAAGAAAAAAAGTGTAGGGAATGTTTCAATTTATTTCCGGTTGTCAATTAAATTACTTTGGGCCAATGCCCTTTGCTATAATTCATGAAGACATTTCTTAATTTATACCATTGCATGAAGTTCCCTATGGCGTTGATCCAAAATCACGGCACTAAAAATAATGTAGTGCCTTTTTAGGAAACAATTTAGGTGAAACAAAGGAAGATTTGTTTTGTAAGATTTTTATATGCAAATGCCACATAAATTGCATCTCATAGTTGCAGGCGGGATGTGGTAAACTAGTTTTAAGCATATCACTCATCTGTGCAGTTTTCTTTAGAACTCTCACAAAAATAACTGTGAGTTCAGTTATAACCAATGGTGGAATTTGATAGCATTTTTCTTGTCCTTTACCTGTTTGTGCTCTTTCCTCTTCAGAATCAGTTTCAGGATTTCATCTCTCCATTAACACCACCACAAATATCACCAAGCTCAGGATACCCTACCCACAGACAGGCACGTGGTATCTGAGCCTGCGCTCTCTGTGTGCCACTGAACACGGGTGAGGACATTTGAATCTCATTAAATCTAGAATCTGTGTTTTTGCACCAAATTATCAGACCTCAGTTTAGCAGTCTACATTTTTTCGAAGCTGAGAAAAGGATGTCGGATATTCATAGCACTCCATATATTTACCCTCATCCACATTTAGCACGTTCAGTAGTAGCAGCACGTGAACTGTGGGGTGCATCCTATTTGCTTTGAAATACTTAAAACAATTCATATATTCACTTTTATGTTGACATAGCTTCTCATAACCTTACTTTATCTCATTCAAAATGAAAATTAGCTCTGACAGGGAGAGTTCAGGTAAAGTTTGACATCTTTATTTGAAATTGCACGCAGAGGCTACTACCTTCCCACTATAGAGATTATAGCATGTCTCCTCACCTTTAAATGTGAGGTGATTTTGATTTAGTTTTAACTTCCATCCCAGGGATTGTTCACCTTAAAAATGAAGGTTCCCTTTCGAAGGGAACTCAACAATACGTCATTGACGCTATGGGGAACGCCTCAGGCGTGACAGGTGTCTGAAATCAAGTGTCAACTCACAGCAATCATGTTGACCAGCGACAGCCCGTGCATCATCAGCTCGAATGATGAGCACGCAACCTGGATGTATAAAAAGGGCGCCTTGAAACCGTGACAACATCCTTTCGTCTTCAGGGACTGTTTTGTCTTTTTGAAAGTAATCAACGAGAAAATGAAGCAAAAAAGCTCTCTAGGGAGCTTCCTGCGCAAACTGTGAGAGTTTTTCACAGTTTCATCAGAACTCTCCTCTCTTGTCTGTCCCACTTCTCGAGGGAAGTGGGCGCGGCATCTGAACCCCGCGGTGCCGGTCCCGCTCGAGCTGAGGCTCAGCGGCTCTTGAGCTCGTGGGGCTCTCAGATGGAGCTGGCAGATCAGCTGGAGAGGGGCGTTAACCTCGCGGATGATCTGACAGCTGACGAGGGTGAGTTACAGGTATATGTAGAGGAGGTTCTTTCTCTTTTTGATGGATCTGTAACTGGTTCTCTTCGGGCCGGGCAGGAGTCAGCTGCCGATGATATCAGTCTGGTTAGGACTGAACCATCTCAGCCCTCCTGTCCAGTGTACGCTGAGTTGGTGGACGTTATGGGGTGCGCCACCAACAGATTCAACAGGGGCCACCAGGCCTTCCGGGCTATGAGCTTCCACATGTCAGGTCACAGACCTTACCCGGCCTTTCTGAATGTGAGCTCCCACATGCTGTGGTTATCAGTTTACGGGCCTCATCCGGCCTTCCTGGTTATGATCTCCCACACACTGTGGTCGCCAGGTCACTGGCCCCACCGGCCTTCCTGATATGAGCTCCCAGCTACTGTGGTCACCAGGTTACAGGCCTCACCGGCCTTCCTGATATGAGCTCCCAGCTACTGTGGTCACCAGGTTACAGGCCTCGCCGGCCTTCCTGATATGAGCTCCCACATGCTGTGGTTATCAGTTTACAGGCCTCATCCGGCCTTCCTGGTTATGAGCTCCCACACACTGTGGTCGCCAGGTGACTGGCCCCACCGGCCTTCCTCATATGAACGCCCAGCTACTGTGGTCACCAGGTTACAGGCCTCACCGGCCTTCCTGATATGAGCTCCCACCTACTGTGGTCGCCAGGTTACAGGCCTCACGGGCCTTCCTGAGTATGAGCTTCCACATGCTGTGGTCGTCAGGTTTCAGGCCTCACCAGCCTTCCTTATATGAGCCCTCATGTACTGGAGCTCCCCACATAGGGGGTCATCAGATCTTAGGCCTCAGCAGACCTTTCTGGTTTTGATCCCTCTCTTACTTCCTCAGTGTTCAGAACGAGCACTGGGTAGTCCCATGGATTGAGTGGACGACTTCTGTCGTTTTTTGAGGTTGTGTCACACTCTCCAGGGGATGATGATCTGTGATCTGGAACTGAATGGTTTCTGACAGCTTTGCAGGCCTTTGGTTTTGGATGCCTTTCCAAGGCAATTTCCAGAGGCTCTGTCTCGGACAGACAGGCAATGGCCAGACTGTGCGTCTTAGTATAGATCACCAGGCCAGCCTGGTGGCATGTCAGGAGGCATGCTCTCCTGAATAGTGACTGGCTGGGAGTCCCTTGGGTCCCCTAGCCACACTCCCTAGAAAGGACCCCTTCTATTAGGAAGTCGTGGTCCTAAACCTTTGAGCTGGCGCAGATATACCTCCCATGAACTATGTTCTGGCAGTTTTCTTGGTCCATTAGCTTGGGCTATGACCGGTAGGGAGTGCTGTCACTGACAGCCCAACGTGACCTAAGGGTGAGTGGTTTTGGTTCTGACAGTTGTCACTGCCCTTGGGCATGCAGTCCCCTCAGTATGGCGGTGTGAGTATTTCGTTCCCCATAGCGTCAATGACGTATTGTTGAGTTCCCTTCGAAAAGGGAACGTCTCAGGTTACAACTGTAACCTATGTTCTCTGAGAACAGGGAACGAGACAATACATCTCCCTGCCATACCTCAGGGCCTGCCTGCAACAGTCCCTTCAGAAGATAGGATGTTGTCACGGTTTCAAGGCGCCCTTTTTATACATCCAGGTTGCATGCTCATCATTCGAGCTGATGATGCACGGGCTGTTGCCGGTCAACATGATTGCTGTGAGTTGATACTTGATTTCAGACACCTGTCACGCCTGAGGCGTTCCCCATAGCGTCAATGACGTATCGTCTCGTTCCCTGTTCTCAGGGAACAGTTGTAACCTGAGATGTTCTATCATCATTTACTTACCCTCATGTTGATCCAAACCTGTGACTTTTTTCCATCCATGGAACACAAAATAATTTATTTACAAGGCTGTGCTGCTCTCTATTTTCTAAGAAAGTACAATGAATGTGACTGAGTTCAACCTAAAAAAAAGGACACAAAAAGCACTATAAAAATATTGTAAAAGTGTTCTATGCAACTTTTGCACTATTATTCTTCTGAAGCCAAATCTCAACGCAGGCGAAAACATCTCTAATTTCGGTCTGTTTCTCACAAAGATTTTGTATCCTTAAAAGCATCAATCCCCTTGCATTGTAATTGCATGAAAAAAAAAAAAAAAACTTTTTCTGTATCCACAGAATGTTCAAAGACACTTCATTTTTTGGTCCATATTCATTTCTCGGAAGTATTTCTAAAAGCTTCTATTTTACGTATTTCTTGTCATCTCACTCAACTTTCTTCTGTAGGTTTGAGCTGTGTACTAATGTAACAGCTGAGGTGTACCTTCGCTCTTACCTGACCCCCTGCATCAATGACTGCGGCACCTATGGCCAGTGCAAACTCCTGCGCACCAACAACTACCTGTATGCTGCATGCGAGTGTAAAGCAGGTGAGCGCTCATAGACATTCTTATGTGTTCTTTTATATCAAATGAGTGGGATAAATTAGTCATAGCATTGAAAAAAAACAATTAAATGCTTTGTTTTTGAATTTCCTGGTGTGTGTCCTTAATTGAAGTTTCAGATAAGAAAATGTTTATGGCTTGGAATCAGCAAAGACCTGGTGATATCTTTGTCAAGAAATATATTGCATTGTACAGTACTTACACAAATATTCAAAAGTCTGGGGTCAGTACGTTTTTTAAATGATTTTTAAAGTCTCTAAATGCTCACCAAGGCTGTTTTTATTTCATCAAAATTACTGTAAAAACAGTGTAATATTTATATTGTGAACTATTACAATTTAAAATAAATAGTCATTTTTAATTACTATTAACATTTTAATGTATTCCTGTGATGGCAAAGCTGAATTTTCAGCATTATTACTCCAGTCATGATCCTTCAGAAATAATTATAATATGCTGATTTAGTGTTAAAAAAGATGCATTTTTTATTATTATCAATGTTGAAAACAGTTGTGCTGCTTAATATTTGTGTGGAAACAAAATCCTATCCATAATCCTATTTTTTCAGGATTATTTGTTGAATAGAAAGTTTAAAAAGAACAGCATTTATTTGAAATAGAAATTTCTTTAAAGAAAGTAGAAAGTGTGTTTACTGTCACTTTTGATCAATCTAATGTGTCCTTGCTGAATAAAATTATGAATTTATTTCATCAGCAACAACAGCAACACAAATCTTACTGGCCTTAAACTTTTGAAACTGTAGTGTACATTATGGTCACACTTTAGATTAGGGTCCAATTCTCACTATTAACAAACAATTAACTACGACTTTTGCCTCAATAAACTCCTAATTACTGCTTATTAATAGTTAGTAAGGTAGTTTGTTAAATTTAGATATTGGGATTAGGGATGTAGAATGCATGCGCACATACTCAATCTTTTACTACAGTGGACTCGAGCCGAACGCACATACCTTTAGACATTTTGCCCGATTTTCATTCTAAGGATGTTAATCTTGATAATACTGTATTATTATTTTGTCTTCTGGCTAAATTTCATCTTCACAAAGCCAGAAAAATTCACTGTAATCCCAATTTTAGAATGCTCTCTGATATAAAGCACTTTTTACCTTCTTTAAGAAAATGTCAAATCCTTTGAATACAAAGGCTTTGAAAACATGTATCATCCTTGAGTCTGTTGTAGGAATATAAATATTAAACCACCAAAACGCTGTTGGCGTGTAAATGAATGGCCAAAACGCATAAGCATTCTTCCGTTTTTTTTTCTTGAAAACGGTTTCTATATTATTAACTTATTCTGGATTTCGATTGTATTTTGGTTGAAATAATTGAATGCACATTTATCTAATGCCACAATTTGTTTTACCTTCAGTTTGGCTTGGTTGTATAGCTTTTTGTTCTTTACAAATATAGAAAAAAAATTTGTTCTACTACAAACTATTTTTTGTAGTAGTTGTAGTAGTAGTAACCTGCAATAAAATAAAATAAAATAAAACAACAATCAACTCATACAAGCCATCACACAGGAATTATGTTTCACAAATTAAAAGAAATCCCCTAGTAATCTCTAGAGGTGACTTGCAGGGCAATTTTAGGTTGTTACACATGTAATGTGAGTGTGACACATGTGCTTGAAAACTCCTTGACACTTCAGCTTTTAGGAAAATGAAGGAGTAGAAATTCTGTGTCATTTAACAAAGTGAACAAGTCTACCCTTTTCCCCAGGGAAAGATCACCCGAGCGGTTAATATGATGATAATCACTGTAATATTTTATAATTCCATTTAATATCTTTCTCCTCTACTGTCAGATGCCAATCAAAGATAATTGGCATGTTAAATGGTTCAATTACGCATGTGCCAATCATGTCGCTCTATAACGATGAGATCACAAATCAAGTGTTTTTTAATTAGAGGACATTTGATGATCCTGAGAAATATGCTAATCACAACCTCTCAATTACAGCGCCATTATGAAGCTCTGGTGCCTCGTTCTTCTTTTCCCTCTGGATTCCTACACATAGTTTCTTTTGTCATTAGCATAGACAAATTTACCCTTTTAATGAATGTTTTCTGGCAAACAGCTTAGTACTGTGGTACAGCACGCACGCAAACTCTCCTCTGTTCTCGAGTGTCTGGTAAAGCTCAATTGACCGTCTTTGTCGACACTCGGTGAGACTTCAATCACTACGTGCCTTTTGATGATTTTTGTTTGTGGTGTGGCTAATTAAGGCTTCGTAATCAGAGAGATTTGTGATATGTTTTCTGGCATTTTCTATGAGAGGTTAGAGGTGCAGTGCATCTATTTCCTTCATGGTGTTTATATAACAGTAGGCTGCCCGAATCCAATCTATATTTATGAAGCTGTTTACAACAGCTGACAGATGAGGAACAGAATGTGTGTGCGAACCAGGGAGAAAGTACATGTGTATTTCTGTGATGTTTTTTTCCCCCGTTCCTTTGTTAGTTTTACACGCATTGGCTATGTGTGTGGTTTGTTTGTTTATTTATTTATCATTTTTTTGTACCTTAGTTTGCCTTGAAGACTTGGACAATAGTATATTTTACACACAGTACCGTTCAAAAGTTTGGGGTCTGTACGATTTTTTAAATGTTCAGGAAAGAAGTCTCTTATGCTCACCAAGGCTGCATTTATTTGATCATAAATGTAGTAATCTTGTGAAATATTGTTACATTTTAAAATGACTGTTTTCTATTTGAATATATGTTAAAATGTCATTTATTTCTGTGATGCAAAGCTGAATTTTCAGCATCACTACTCCAGTCTTCAGCGTCACATGATCCTTCAGAAATCATTCTGCTGAACATTTCTGTGTGCTTCTCTAGGTTGGGATGGCTGGGGTTGCACGGACAACACTGAGGCGTACTCGTATGGGTTCCAGCTGCTCTCCACTCTCCTTCTGTGCCTCAGCAACCTGATGTTCGTCCCACCTGTGACCATCGCCATCCGCAGTCATTACCTGCTGGAGGCATCTGTATATATTTTCACCATGTTCTTTTCCACTGTGAGTTTGAAGATCTACTTTAAACCAATCAAAAATGCCCAAAATTAGGCTATCTGCATGTTGACATGAATCGTCTAAAATGAAAACAAAAATATACAGTTTCAAGAATAATATTTTTTATAAAAGGAATAATCCCAACTCTTAATTGTGAGTGGATGGCTTATGGTTGAAATCATTGTAACTTGTAAATGAACTTAACTGACCAGTCAGATTACAGAACTGGAACTAACTGTTGTATAATTAATATTTTATACTAGATTTGCATTCTGTTTTGCTCAGGCTTTGGACAAACATGCCTAAATAATGTAATAAGTGCTTGAAGAAGTGCTGTATTATTTACAGACCCATCACGAGTCTTAGTTCAGCATATCAGTGGCAGCTGAAGTATGGAGATTATGGTTAAGAACCAGTGACATGTCAGAGTGTGATATTTTATTCATGATTCCTCTGACCTTTTGTTTTCATCTTTCACCCCTGAACAGTTTTATCATGCCTGTGACCAGCCAGGCATTGTGGTCTTCTGCATCATGGAGTATGACGTGCTGCAGTTCTGTGACTTCCTCGGCTCGCTCATGTCTGTATGGGTCACTGTCATTGCCATGGCCAGACTCAAATCCATTATCAAACAGGTACAAATCACATTCAGTTACCATAAACCTTGTGGTTCTTAACTCTGTGCTCATAAACGTTTTTTTTTTGTTGTTGTTGTTGCTAATATTCAATTAGATCAAATATTTTTGTATGTACAGTTTCTGCATTAAATAAAACACACACTTCAAAAGTTTGCTATCAGTCTTTTTTTTTTTTTTTTTTAGTTTAAATTAAATTAATACTTTTATTCAGTAAGGATGCATTAAATAGATTCAAAAAGTGATAGAAAAGCAATTCAAACAAATGCTGTTCTTATGAACTTTCTATTCAATTTTGATAAAAACAAGAAATGTTTACTGAGTAGCAAATCAGCATATTAGAATGATTTCTGAAGGATCATGTGACACTTAAGACTGGAGTAATAATGCTGAAAATTCAGCTTTGACATTACAAATATAAATTACATTTAAATATAAATAAAAATAGAAAACAGTTATTTTAATTTGTAATATTTCACTATATTACTGGTTTTGTTGTAATTGTGATCAAATAAATTCAAAACATAAAAAATCTTCCTAACCTCAAACTTTTAAAAGATAGTCTAAGTATTCAAAATGGGCCACTGTATATAATAACCACAATCTGATGGTTAAAATTACATATGAAGACCCTGGGGCCCAGAAATGCTGGTTATTTCTTGTGTCATCAATTTCTATAAATTCATTTTGTGTGATTCACAGAGGCCAGTAGTTTTTCATGGACTTTATTGCCAAGAAAAGAGCTTTCCAAGATGTGCAAGAGAGCAGAAATTCCGTCCACCTCAGTAAACAGCTTACACAGAGTGTAAATATACGAATGTCAGCAGTCTGTCATGTGCTGTCATAATGATGGTGACATTTCGCTGTGGAGCAGAGTAAATATAGGTGGACTTTTTCAGGTTCACTTTCTCTTTAGCTCAGTCTTCAGCTGCTCAACTGCAGAGGGAAAGAGTAAGGGTTAAGGAAAGAGAGCACAGGGAGAAAGACAGTAAGAATGTGATTAACAGTGTGTTTGAGTTATTTAGAAACAGAGATATGAAGTGAGGGAGCTTCTGCTTGTGAAGGAAGTATCTAATGGAAAGAATAAGAAAAACTAGCTCCCCTCCAGGGAGAATGTTTCTATATATATGTTAGATGATTGCGTGTGCTCGCCTGTGAATGTGTTTTGCTGAGTGCTTAAGTTTGTAGACAATAATCAAATCACCTTTGTCACAACAGTTCTGAACTTCACGGAGGAAGGAAAGAGTACGAAAAGGACATTTTTAGCAGCACCTCTCTTTAGTTACAGTCTGCCTGACAGAGGGTGGCCAATGCAAGATGGCTTAATTGGACTGGGGATTTACTATCGCCTCTAGGCATGATGAGTTGTTGATGTTTGAACTAATGTTCTCCCTCTTTGTCGCTCTCCTACCAGGTGCTGTACTTGCTGGGGGCGATGGCTCTGTCCATGGCCTTACAGCTGGACCGTCATGGTCTGTGGAACCTGCTGGGGCCCAGCCTTTTCGCTTTAGGCATCATGGCCATCGCCTGGGTAAGTAGTATTGTGCACATGCATAGATTTCGTGTGTTTAGGACTGTAAAGCATCTTATGTATAATACATTAATAAAACGTGCTAGAAACCATGTCAGTTATACTTGACCTGACTCGGAGCATAAAAATTAACAGATGTTGGAGTTGTTTGCAAGATAAACAACAAGATTGGGGCGGCAGTGGCTCAGTGGTTCATGTGGGTTGTCTACAAACCGGAAGGTTGGTGGTTCAATTCTTGGTTCCATCTGACCAAGTGTCGAGGTGTCCATGAGCAAGACACCTAACCCCAGCTGCTCCCGACGAGCTGGATGGCGCCTTGCATGGCTGCCGTCGCCCGTCGGTGTATGAATGAGTGAGTGAATGGGTGAATGTGAGGCAAATCGTAAAGCGCTTTGGTGGCCATTGGGTCTGTGAAAGCGCTATATAAATGCAGTCCATTTACCATAAAGGCATTGTTGTTTGTCATGGATTACCATAGTTTGCAAGTATTTGTCTTCTAAAAAATCTGCTTAACCCAGCACATGGTGGGGTCTGGTTTAAGTTGGTTTTAGCTGGTTTAAGCAGGTCAGCTAGTCTCCCAGCCTGCCCAAGCAGGTATTTGGCTGGTTTAGCTGGAATAACAATTTCTCTCCCAGCTGGACTGCCAGTTTGTCTCCTAGCTGGTTTACGCTTGTTTTCAGCTGGTCTAGTGTGTCTCCCAGTTTGGCCATCATTTATTTAGCTGGTTTAGCTGGACTGCCAGTTTGTCTCTCAGCTGGTTTACGCTTGTTTTCAGCTGGTCTAGTGTGTCTCCGGGTTTGGCCAAGCAGGTATTTAGCTGGTTTGGCTGGAATACCAGTTTGTCTCCCAGCTGGTTTAGGCAGGTCTTAGCTAGTTTAAACTTGTCTTCAGCTGGTCTAGTTGGTTTTCCACCCTGTCAAGCAGCTATTTAGCTGGTTTAGCTGGACTGCCAGTTTGTCTCTCAGCTGGTTTACGCTTGTCTTCAGCTGGTCTAGTTGGTGTCCCAGCTTGGCCAAGCAGGTATTTTGCTGGTTTTAGCTGGAATACCAGTTGTTCTTCAAGCCCAATTAGCTAAAAAGCAAACCAGTCTAGGTTTCGAAAGTTTTTTTTTTTTTTCAACAGGGAAAACAAAGCTTTTCAGCTTTGTAAATGGATAAAATATATTTATTTGTAAATGTACTGTAGTAAAAATGTCATATTAAAAGGGAACATGCCTGTTTCCAAAAATAACCATGTTCTTTCAGTATAACGGATCTGGCAGTTAAATGCCAACGCTAGTTTTTTCTTTGAATGTTGAGTGACAAGAAGCACCTTTTCAATATCTATAATTTATGAAGGCATTTCGAGCTACCTAGGGCTGCATTTATCTGTGCATTAGCATGGTGTGGCATTAAAAGTTTCTCTGTTCTGTCAGTATTAGAGACACACTCGCTGTTCCATTTACCAGGCAGCTTGTACTTTATGCTAATTCCTCTAGCGACCACACTGTTTTTCTGAGGTGAGAAGATAAAAAAAAAATGGGTGTTGGACAAGGAAGAGCCTCTGGCAAATTACAGTTGAGTGAGAGAAGCACGTCCTCCCTTGAGTCAAATGGGCTGGTGGATATACTGTACATGCAGAGAGAAGAGGAGCCAGTGAACTTCTTCTACAGCTACAAAGATATATGGTGTGAGAGAGAAATAATGAGAGAGAATAGCAAATGTTCAACAAAACTATGACTAGCAGAGGTCATTTCTTCATCCTTTGACTCTGAACTCACATCTGAAGGCACTAATAAAGCTTCGAATAGAGCATAATGAGGAAAAACACATTGGGACAGAATTAAAGACATTTAGATGTTGTAATTTTGGTTTTGAGGTACATCGTTGCTTGCTACACTCTATTCCTGTGTTTTTGATGCAAGTTACTGTAACACTTTTGTTGACAACTAAAACATGAGTAATTGCAGAACTTTACCATAAAAATGGTAAAATGTCATGAATAACTAGAATTTGCAAGGCAGGAAAAAAAAGTGGTGTTACAGTTTTTTACAATCACTTTGTTACTATTTTTAGAACCTTGATGTCATTTTTCACAACTCAAAACTCTCAACCAATGATCAAAATGCACATTTTTCAAAACTCTAACCCTTTCCTCAATTGCTTGGATACAATACACATAAAACTTAGATCATTTGTTCATTTAACAAAAATCACCTGTTCAATATGACACAACTTAACATCAAAGTACTACTATTTCAAAAGGCAATTCACACATTACATTTCAAATGAGTGTCTATTCATTTCAGTACAATGATCTAACTATCAAGTGATACAACTGCTCAAAATGATAAGTAACTGTTGCATTACTCTTAGTAATGCATAGTTGTATGGAAACAGACAATCAATCTTCCATGTTTACAGTAAATCATGAAAGTTTCAAGATAACGAGATTCATTGTCACTAATTTGCGTAGAGCATGAACCAATTTGACTACAATATCCATGGATGACGCCTGCAATGCCATCGCAGCAGACCAGTGTCAGGCCTGGATTCGCCATGCCGAAGGTGTTTTCCAAGATGTTTGGCTAATGAAACCATCCATTGTGATGTAGATGAGAACCTGTGGCCAAATCCACAGCACAGAGTTGATTACAATGTAGAAATACAGTAATCACTCCTGTTTTGTTTCTTACATTACAACCAAGCAAGTTGAGGAACACTGCATTTGATGTTTTACAGTAGTGTCTTTTCTTTTCTATTTCATAGCTAATTATTTTTGCTTTGATTCAAATAAACCTATGTTGTGATTGTACTGTAGTGTTTTGCATCAATATATTACAAACTTTGTTCAATGATTCCACTGTGTCTGTAGTATTCTCTCTACTACTACTGTACTTTTACAGAGATGTATTTACTGTACATGTAGTACCATAATGAAACCTGTATCACCTATTTTGTTCTACAATATTTAATGATTGTACGAACAATGACACAGTGAAACTATCAGTTGCTTGTGTGTGGGTGATCTATAGTTATGTTTCAATGGTATTTCACAGTAAATTTGTTTTTTGAACCAATGATTGTGCAAGTGCAAGATTTCTTTAAAGATGTGAATGCACAATGCAATGTTTTGAACATTAGACAGCCTGTGTTACAAGTGATAACCGTTTTGATTTTTGTGTCTAGAGTTTTGAAAAATGACATGAAGGTTCTGAAAATAGTAGCAAAGTGATTGTAAAAAACTGTAAACTTTCAGTCAATCTTATTTACTAAATAACTTTATTATTAATAGAACACTGCAAACACTTTAAACATTAAGCACTACGTACTAGGAATACATGAATACTGTTGGCTGAAATGTTCTTGCATTTCTGAATGTCAGATTGAAAGATCAGTGTACACTGTACAGATTACTCTAATTCTGTCTAAAATTCATTGAATGTGACATTGACTGTCAAATACACACGTCTATCATCTCCATGGCACATAATGGCTCTTTGTAGTTAAAACATGTCAGTTGACACCTCCATTTCAATGCTCCCCGAGCCTACGCAAGCACAGTACAAAGCGTCCCACTGTGTGATTCTCACATCAATTTTTTTTTGGAACTGAGGAAAAAAGCTATAATTTATCAAGCTTGTGACATGCTACATCCACATCATTTTTTCCAGTGCAGTTTATCATTATCTTCTGTGATCCTCTTGTTTTTGGGCTCTGCATTCTGAATATACACAGATGAGCTTAAATTAGACGACCACAGTATTTTTTGAGCTAATCAAAAATTCTTTAGTGAAGAGTTTTAAGCCTGAATACTATTTGCTTACTGTTCATCAGTTATTAATTATAAAAAAATACAAATAAAAATCTTTGAGATCAAAAAGAAAATCTCTGAGATGAAAAAAAAATCTATTCATGGTTAACAAATCTCGAAAGGTTTATGTTATTGTTTAAAATTAATTTCTTTGGAAAATGAATGGGATTTTTACTTCCAGAATACTACTTTTGTGCTCTATAGAGAAATATATATATATATTAATAGACAGAGAGAGAGAGAAACATTCTCTCTCACCCTTACATTGACTGCATTGGCTGAACTTTGAGTTTCATTCCTTATGTCCAATAACAACCTCAGTTTGAATTCTAACACTTAACCCTCAGGTGCTCTTCGTTTCGGAGTCACACTTGTTATCTTTCCGGTCAGAAGTGACCGGACACCTAAAAATGAAACTTTCTCCATCCCAGTAAAACCAATGCAATTTATTTTTGTTCAATAATATTTTTTCTTTTTAATTTTGTATTTTGAGACAATTTGATGTTACTTATTAATATTTATGCAATATTTATGGTCCATTTTTGCCATTGAAAGCAATAAAAAATTTTTTTTTCCTAATTTATAAAAATATTTCTTTATTATTGCAGTATTTCAGATTAATATAGAGACCTGGGGCCTCTTGTAAAAAGACTTGCGTTGAATTCATACTAAAACATTGCGTATACGGACAAAGCTGTAAATGTGCGTACGCACAAAAAAAGCAGATGTCTGAATCTCTGCGTACGAAGGATCCCGCGCATATTCTCTTTGTACATCCCAATTAACGTAAAATTGAGCGCACATGCACGAGCACAACGCCCCACCCAGTCTCCTCCCCCAATTAAATTAATTTAAATATGGTAATTAGTCCAATTTGGCAAAAGAAACCTGCAAGAACATGGCTAAAGCAAGCAAGAAACGAAATTTCACTGAAAATGTCTTCTATGTAAATATATAGTAAAGTGTAATTTATTCCTGTGATCAAAGCTGAATTTTCAGCATCATTTCTCCAGTCTTCAGTGTCACATGATCCTTCAGAAATCACTCTAATATGATGATTTGATGATCAAGAAACATTTTTGAGTATTATCAGTGTTGAAAACAGGTGTGCTTCTGCTTCATATTTTCGTGGAAACCGTGATATAGTATTTTCAGGATTCTTTAATGAATAAAAACTTAAATCAAACAGATATAGAAATCTTATAATC